GCGGCGCAACCACCTATACCAGGCTACCAGTCAGGGTTGCCGCGTTCGCGTGAGCTTACTCGTGTTATCCCAGGGCTCATGCGGGGCCGGGGAGTACGCGTATTTGCGTATACTGTCTCCGGATAATGCGCACGCGCCCTATCAACAACTAACAGTAGCCGCTCGAACGCACCATGGGTTCACAACGTTTACAAGAACATGACGTGAGGTCCAAGACGAGAAAAGATGGCGGATGATAAAGACAAAACAGGCGTAAAGGGCGCCTTTCCATAAAGTGTGTCTTTCCAAACGTTTTGAACACTAGACTTTTGTGAACAAACTTAGAAAATTTGCAGTGTAAATATCGTGCTTTTATTTTTTTCGCGTCTCAAAAAAGGGGGGCCGTGCCCCCCCCCCCGTTCCAGTGGTCATGGTTTATGGTGCCCTGTAGGGTACCAGGGCAAGTACCCAACAAAGTACTCATCTTTGTGGAGTACTTTAACGGTGCCCTATACAAGAACTGCATAAAATAGATTTGAGGAATTTATTGGCCAAGAAGAACTACCAAGGTATGCTTGTTGTTACACATTGAAGTATTTTACATAAAGGACATTTGGTCGAAATATCAACCAAGGAAAGAAACACTGGTTCAAATGGGAGCGATTTGGAAACCACACTTCACACAATAATAACCCACTAAAATTAATGTATCCACGTCAGCTCAGTTTTTTAAAAAGGACTTTGCGATGGGATTTTTAATGTTATACATGTGCATGTACTAGACACTGAAACTTTTTAATGGGGGCGCTGTTCAAAGCAGACATTGCTCAGCAATTCATCATTAGCACGCTGCCGCCATAGTCATACAAAGCCTCGATCTGACAGCTTTACACAATCCATAATAAAGCCGGTTCAGTGATTCCTTTGTATAACGTTGCTATGTAATTTTCCGCGTGCGCGTCAGTTCTTACACCACGCAATTGGACAAAGCATTCTGACGCGATGTGCAAGCTGCCAGTTCGATCAGGCTCTGGCCGTGTCCGAAACGGGCTTCCAGAGCTACGGCTAGGTCTATTGTCTACGCGTCCCCACGCATTTCTAACAGTGAAGACCTCGACCCTTTTCCAATACTCGACTTGGGCTCCGTCTCAGGCTCCGTTTCCAAAACCAATCCCCGATTGTGGGCCTGAAACGTATGAATTAAATTTGATTACTGCAATTTCTGGCTCTCTCACATCTTATTTGATGTTTTGTGGCACTATTAAACTAATTTCTGCGCTTACAGCTTTAACGTCGGCTAGTTAAAAAACAATTGAAGACGGAGCCGAATTGAGTATTGGAAAACGGCCCTAGCTCTAGACACGAGATTCGAATGCGCATGCCGGTGGCGGTAGCAAAAGAGCGAATAGAGGGCGCTCTTCACAAATCTCCATGAACAGCTCTGGGTTGAGCATTGATTATGTCGTTCGATGCGACATTGATTTGGCAAAAGGCACTGAATTAATATGTTTTCGTACAAAGGTGCACTTATAGGGAGAGAAAAAGGCTCTTGTTACAAAATGGTGGGCACAAATACCCCCTAACCACGGGTCCCCTTCTCCAAACCCCGATGCTAAGCTATCGGTACAGCAGGTTGAGCTCGTTTTTGTAAGCAAATATACTGTGTCTAGGTTAAAGTTCAGATGTCTATGGCCGATGCATATTCGCATGGCACAGCGACAGCAGAGGCAAAATGAAATCAAAAAGGTGGCACTGCACAGGCTGGTCGTCAGAAGGAAAAGCGAACTTGAAAAAGATCAGTAAACCCGGTTGTTTCAAGTCCCCGGGCCTGTTAGCGATGCCCTGAAAACGTCGCGTTGGTTGCGGAGGGACGGTTAGCCAGCTTGACTCGAATAGCAGACTGCCAAACACGAGCTTTACTGTAAAGTGCGTTTCTATGCCTCGCATTGCCGCTTATTCTTCAAAGAAGCAATAATTCCACTCCAAAGCTAGCCTATTCTCAACATGGTGTGCTTCGTATAATCGTGTGCCAATTGATAATTATGGACGACTACAAAAAGCACGGAATACAGTAGGCTTCGGCAAACCTCCTTGTACTTACTTGTGAAAGTCATTGCGTCTGCCGTGATGAATGTCAAGAGAAAAACAAAACTCCGCAATATGAACCATTAGTGTTCAGGGCATTAGTTTTCTGGGGTATCGGCTAAGAAAATGCAAGAAAATGCCAATCCTAATGCGCGAAAGTTGTCAACCAAATGCGCCCCGTTTGGAAAGGATCGACAGTTTTCGCGCATTGTGATTGGCCAACGCGTCGCAAAGTCTTGAAGGCGCACTTTTGTCTCCCCAGTGATTGTCTGCAGCCGAGCCGGAATCCCCCCCCCATGTATTTTCTTTTCGATATCGCCGCGGTGCGGTTTTTTTTTTTTTTTACGGAAGCCGAGCCTCTACGGAGTTTTTAGAGTAACTCTTTGCGGTCATTTTGACACCAATTTGCGAAAAGCGCCCGTGTGATTTCCGAGACAGGTGAGCTAAAATTGTACACGTTTCCAATATGATTCTCAATGCACACGGGCTGGCAGGCGTGTAGCCTTGAACTTCAAATGACTGTAACGTTGATGGAGTTCAAACTTTACAGTTGTAATGGTAAGGAAAGGGGTGTCCTTACATGCATGCCTTAACCTAGTTTCAAAACAAAATCGAGCGTGGCACAGCCCAGTTGTTGGTGGGCGGAATCCACCCCACCCACCCCCCCGGCTGTGAATGGGCCAAAATAACCCAGCGCTTTGAAGGATATACGATGTCATGGGGACAAAATAATGTCCAGTTTGAGACGAACTTGAGGTGCAATCGAAAACTAAAGAGAGGGTGATTTTCTGCAATATTTGGCCGCCCATAATCATTGTAGGCATTAAGATTGAGAGTGGTCTGCATTCATCATAGTGTAAGCGTTGTATGGATCTAGCTATAGCTCTTCATCTCTTCGGTTTGAAAAGCCAAGTCCCACTATATCGATCGTTTTAGCGTCTCGAGTCAATACTACTCCCAAAACTAAACTTTATATACATGTACTTAAGCGAGACAAATCCTACCTGTTTGGTCTGGGTGAGACTCCGTTGCGGAGCGGCTGAAAGGAGCTTGCCTGGTCGCTTACTGAACGCTGTAATTATAATGTACCAGCAACAAAAAATATGGGGGGACCAGTAAATTGTCAACATCTACGGAGGTACAATCAACCAATCAATCCTTCCACAAACCCTCAGATTGTGTTGCTTTAAACCAGTACTGCCGTATACATAAATATTATACATAATTAGTTTAACTTCTCTTCTGAACAAAACTCTCTGGTTCATCAAACTGAGTGATAAAGACATGATGGAAAAGGTCACAGATCAGAAAGAAATTTTGAAAGTTTTCTCTCTGAAAAAAAAATTGAAAACCGTCAATCAAAATGGGCCAGATGGAAAAATTTAGAGTTTTCTTTCTGACAGACAAATTACAATCAAAACCCCGTCTGAAAAATTGATCCTGCGTCCTCAACAAATAATTACAGACCGTAAAACGTGATGGGGTTTTATCTTCCAGTATATATACAGGCGCTGTTGGTTCCAAACAAAAACTGTAGCGTGCGTGCCTTGAATGTCCCCGACAAATATTTTGCTGGTATCGCTACTGTACAGTTACGTCTATGCATCACCCGTACCATAGAGCCAGCGCGATGACCGCTCTGAGGCAATGATAAAACAAATTATTGGTTGTCTTTTTCCGCGAAAACAAAACACATTTTATCCCTACACAGCTGGATCACTGGATCGTATGACAATTACAAGAATACTTGTTAACTCAGGCAATTCAAAATTTTAGTAAACCACATTTTTTTAAACAGCAAAATCGGTCGGCGTAACAAGCAATGGCCAGTTGGAATACATGAGTTTATATTGGGAAATACTTGAATTAAAATCTGGAACCCCATTGGATCGGCATATAACAAAACTGCTTGGGACCATTTTCCCCTCAAACTACGAAACATGCCCTTAACTGAAATGCTAGGAGTAGCGTTCAAATCTTGGCAAAGGATGTCATAATATTAAGCAGGCAATCACTACCTATCCAGGTTCGATTCGGGGATTTTTTTTCTGAAAACCCTCAACCACTTTTTTTTCATTCGTGGAAGAATCCTCGCCCGATCCCCCTCTTAAAGAAAAGGTGGCGTCATTTTTTTTCCTTTAAAATAAAAAAAATAATGATATGTCGATCTCCGTGAAGCAACTTCAAGTTACCCGAGAACGGACGACATAATTAATGCCGGACATGCTGATACAGTCACCATGGATATAGTCGCCATGGATCAGTCTGAAACTTTTATACTGGAGGTACTTCTTTATGACTGCCAAACAAAGTTGCGATAAAATTATCACGAATAAATTGTATAAATTAATACAGGTTAGATCTCTCGCCATGAATTCAAGCTTACCTCCGTCATTGTAAGTCCTTTGCAGCGTTGGTGACAACACAGTGCACTTGTGTCAGTAATACCTGGCGTCTACGTATATTACTAAGGGTCTTCGGTACAAGTCTGCACGCCGCGCACAAGTGTCTTCATGCTATTATTTTATGAATACCAAACAGCTACATGTGCAAAGTAAGCGTACATTGCAGTACACCTGTACGATGATTGTACACCAGGCACTATGGTTGCAGAGAAAAGTTAGGCAGCACGTGTGTGTGGTTTACAGCCGTTTTATCATTCATGGTAATTGCAATCAATGAACAAGCTTAAGGCATCATGTTCACGGTTAGATCACGCGCCTGAAGCATGCAGGTACACGTACACCCACGGCCGAATGTAGGGCCACCACGTGTTTTATGATTCATGTATACATGTACAATGTACCTCGCCAGTCGTACATGACAAATCGACAGGTACCACTATCCGGTCCGGGACCCAGGCAATCTGTTTTCCTTTCCCCGTGCTCCAAACATATTTAAAATTCATTGGTTCCTCTCAACGTAGACGATTCCCTGATCTTTCCCCCTTTTTTTTATTACACCTGATGTACTTTCCAATGGGAAAATGGTGTTACTGCCCGTCTTGGCAGGAGACTAGTTTTCACTCTTGCGGAGTCTTGGGCTTTGTGTCGGACTTTACCTCTGAAAAACAAAATCCTCCAGAACCAAGACTATAGTCTTTAATCAAATCGAATTTCCCCAGCACTTTTCGTTTCAAAAGAAAAACAAACCAATTTTAAAAAAAAAAAATGCAGACGGGCTACTAGTAGACATCAGAGATTGTAGTAAGAATGTTTTGTAAATAAAATTAAATTTTTATCAACTCTTGAGGGCGCGCTTGAAGACCATTTTTACGAGGCTTTGTTTTTGAGAAAATCAACAGCGTCGTCGATGGTCAATCCAATACGGGCTTGGAATACGCTCTTGCGGATGTAAATCTTTGCTTTGAATGCAGAGTAGCCAGCTGGAATGAGTTCTGTAAGATATTTTGCTTTTATGTGATGTGGTCTTGAGAATACACTGTATTTTGGATATTCGAAGAAGCCGGCTTTTGTCAATGTTTGTAACCAAATCTCAAAAGCCCATGCAGAATGTATTGTTGATTGTACATGTACATGTATGTACAATCTGACAATGTGCATGTACAGTGTGTACATGTACGTGTACCGGTACATGTACACGTACAGTGATGGCGTTGACCTACCCTAACGTGGCGCACTTCGATTTTTCGCCTCTAGTGCTTTGTCGGAGTAATTTTTTTCCTCAGATTTCTTTAGAATTGAAATTTCATCAAACTCCCAATATTCTGCATGTTGTGATTCAAAAATCTTGCTGTAGTGTTATTCCCCAAGTAGGCCTAGGCTAAGCCTACAAAGTTCTGATGAAATTTGATTTTGGCTTGATTTTCTGCTTTTGTTCTAAGATGCAAAATGTGCTCAAAATGTACAATTTTTTAAACAAACTTGTTGCTAGGTAGGCCTACTGTAAGAGCCCAATCAGGTTCATCATTTCCACACTGACATATCTGATTGTCAGATATTAAAACATTCCAATGCGCTGTGTTTGTAAACTTTAAAAATAATATATGTTTTGAGTGTTGTGACTGTAGAATCCAATAATTTCTGACTCACTGGTAATACATTATTTTGCATTAAGAAAAAATGTGCTAATTTAATGGCTAATTTTTCCCTTGAATAAAACATCCTTGCAGTGCAACTGTTTTAAAGCAGTCCTTGAAAATGCACCTTCTTTGTTTCATTTAACCTTATCTTCAATTTTTTTTTCTTTTTGCTTAGAGCTATTACATGAAATATTGGACGAGGTACATATACATGTACATGTACCATATTTTTGCACCCCAGTTTGGGTTTATTATGTGGGTTAATGTCATGCAAAGTATTATATTCATGTGCAAAACTGTCACGTCAGCCAAGGGAGAGAATCACAGTGCTACACTGTACATGTACGTTTATTTCATCTCAAAACATACAGGAAAACCTCCTCATTTCCTACATGTACACGTGTATATTTTGCTGTCTTCAGTGCTTTTTGCCGTGGTGATTTTTTCGTTGTGTAAAATACATGTACATCTACTCTACATGGTGATTTAAAAGCCAAGGAGAAACCCTTTCTAAGAAGTGTCTTTCGTTAGAACATTTTATGTTGAAAATTTGAACAGGTGCATGCAAAGCACATCAACTGGAAAGAGTCTTTCCCGATAGGCATCAGGGTAACATTGCCATCAGTTGTCCCCGAAAAGAGAGGACAAATAAAGGGATGCTCTAGAAGCCCCACAGTCCGGTCCAAAGGCAGGGTTTCAATCATTTTGCCGGGGCTTGAAATTACGCGCAACTCTATACATGTTATGGGAAGTGGCTACAGCTACGGTACTTCCATAGACCTGTGTATAATTGCTAGCCACAGCCAAGTGATTTAAACAGGGCCAGTTACACACATGCTTGAACAAACAAATTGGCCTTTGTGTTGGTCCCAAGGTTAGGACTGTCAGACTACCTATAAGTGCTATTCAGTGTAGATCAGTGAATCAGTGTATTGATTATTCAGTCACATTTTTCTGTAATTAAATCAAAAACAACTTGGTTTCAAAGAAACGCTTCCCGTCAGAAGACGAGAGAGACACATCAAAAACTTCTTTGACCAAAACTCTCAGACACCCTTGAACAAACACAGTTGAATGGTACCGTGACCGTCTACATGTACATGTATATGTACTTGTAGGAGTTGATGTCATGAAGTGGATAATGTTTGAAAGCAGTTCCCGCAGACAGACCACTGAAGGTTGTCTTTTATTGTTGATCAGAGTTTGTTTGAAAGCAAGTGGACATCTGCCATTCGATTGTTCAGATGGAGAACAAGTGAATGACTGATTGGTTGGCGAAATGAACTTAAAACTTGTGGGCCTACCCGAGGTAAGCCCCACCACTGCCAAGCAGTGACATCCCTTCTCTCAAACATAAACAGTGCCAGGATGTGCAGATCTCACCTGTGACCTCCCCTTTTCTACAAATTGCTTCCTTGTCCAGGACAATTTGTACACTGTCAAGATTGAGCCTCTCACCAGCGGGCCCGAGGTGGTGGTGATGGATTCAGAGCCCACCATGAGGCGGCTGGACCACCTCCCCAGGGAGGATGAGCAGAAGATGAGGTCCCACTATCTCCTGGCGGGGGGACAGGATGCCTCGTCCGCCACAGCAGGCGCACCATGTGGGACAGTGGTGAGAAGGTTCACCGTGAAATTCTGAACACATGATGGCAAACCCGTGTCCCTCTGTAGCAAGTGCTTTGGCACAAGTCTGTCCGTGACTCTGGGGCACATTGTGTGACAATCTTTCACATTTCTTGGTATCTGAGAGATTTCTTGACATATCACAAAGATTTCACATCGTATTTTCGTAAAACTTCTTTGTTGTGATCTGTGCTATTTATTTGAAGGTGAACTACTGTACATGTATGCACATGTACAATATATGATTTCCTTGTACACTGTATGTCACTGTACGTGTACTTGTATGGTATTTCAAAGTGTTGATCATACTTGTTACCATAACTTAAAGAAAGGTTGGCACTCATACATTTACAGTAGTAACCCTAGTCTTGACTCAAGACGTTCTATCGTGGCACAGACTTAAATTATCCACTGCCAGCTCCCTATTGGCAAGCACAGATCATACACATAGCTCTCTGCAGGTAGAGTCCACGAACCCGACCAACTTACGCAATGAGCTGCCTGTTGCCCAGTGTAATAATGGAACGAATGGAGCACTGGCTGACTTATATGTACCACACAAACCAGACTTACCCACGAACCGCTCCCTCCGAAGTGCTGTCGTGATTGGATGCACTGCCAGTGAAAGCCCTTTATTGGTGGTTTGTATGCATGCGCGCTGAACAAACATCCCAACAACTCCGTCTTGCACCAAGACTATACATGTAGTAACTCGAGTTTAGGTTTCCACCAGCAATACAGTCAACAATTCAGGTACTCTTATTTCACAAAGGCAAGCTTATTTGGGATACAACGTTCTGATGTCAAAGCAGCTCCAAGGTGGAGTCAGTCACCAGGTGCGGAACCCACTGACACAGTCGATAATCACACACACACACTCATGATAGAAGTGTGCAAACACCTTCAATCGTGGACTCCCTATTGTTCCTCTTTTGTTCATACTTAAACTTTTTCGGAAGACCTCCCTTATGTTTTGTACACATTTTTCAACCTTGGACTTCTCGGCAACCGTGGACCCATTGTCCCCTTTTGTTATAGGTCCACGATTGAATATGAATACAAACTCACNATACACCCACATGTACATGTGCACACATGTGTACGTACATTTCGATTATCCCAAATGATCCGTCAGCATGCTTCATGTTATCTATCTGGAATAGCAAAATGGTAGAGTGTGTTCAGTGACACCTCAGAAACCCTGGAAAATTATCCAATGTGCCCCCAACATACTTTCTCTCAACAGCAGTTGAGAAACACTGTCGGCCAGCCGCAGATGGTTGACAACTCTTACGCCAATGGCATGCAAGCCCAGACTCAGCTGATGGAGAGGGTGAAGAACCTAGAGGCGGAGTTATCTCGGGCGAAACAGGAGATCGCTCAGTTGAAGGGGCTCAACACCATACTCCAAGAAGGTAGCGTTTAGGCCACAAGTATCACTCGCTTTACTGAATTCCTGTCTTCGCGTGTCATTCCAACGTATATTTTGATCACTGAAAAACCACTTTGTGAGCATAAAGGCTTGTTTTTAATAGGTGACAGCAAAATAGCCAAAACTTCTGATAACTTATAAAGGTAAGATTTAGGTTTGTATCACTCACTTTGACAACTGAGGGGTGGGGTTGAAGTCCAATATACATGTATGGTGCTAAACCCAGAAGAGGACCCAACCAATTCAAAACGAAAATTAATTCCTTCTTAGGGTACAAGTCAAGAGGACAGTGTCTGTGTATTTGTTGGTAAATAAGTAGGAAAAAATAGATAATTGAGAAAAAAAGTACACTTTGTGGCAAAATATATTATGTTGCAGTCAACCTGAAAATCACCACAGGCAGTAATAAACATGACATAATATAATTCTGATTGGCCTCAATCAAGCACTCGGTTATTATATTTTCTGAAATTTTTTCAAAAAATATGGGAAAAGTACGGAGAAATGCCAGGTTAGTTGAGAGACATAAGTGGATGATTCACTCTGCAAAGACTTTTTTGTAGCAAACAGGATGTCCTTAAAGCAAGGTCATTAAGGATAAAATCCTCTGATGTCACACCAGCTCCATTGTTGTCAGCATGTGGGAGTTGGCGATATTAACATGATTAACAAACAAACACATTGATTATCCCAAATGACCTACCTGTCCAGTGTGCAGCATACTTCATTCACATACCCTTCTGGAATACCAAACTGAGTCATTAGTATTTTGGTATCAATGAAATGTAGTAACAAAGAATGCCTCAGGAAGGACTTTTCCTTTTGATGGAGCGAAGTGGTTTCACACTGTGTTTGCTGTGCACGGTTGTGTAAATTGTAGGTATTCCCGATGTCATCCGTAAGACGCTTCGTGATGAGTTGCGCAAGCCCCGATGGTCAGTCTTGAATCAGCAGGACCAGACAACCCACCAAAGTTCCACCACCTCCAATAAGACAAGAACGGTAGGTCGTCTTCCCGTGAACTCCGGGGCTTTCATGATCATAACCCTGGGTGGTGTAGGTCCAGGCTGTTGTAAAGTCTTGAGATTCCAATTCAAGTAGAGAGTTGGTAATTTTCAATCACACACTGAAATGCAAAGTACTCTGTGTGGGCACTTTTCTGAAAATAACATAATTTTGCTTTCGAAAACCAGGGGCGGATCTAGCTTTCAGGAAATGGGGGGGGGTAGGCACACTAAAGGGATCCCCTGCTAAGGGAGTCTGAAAGCACCCAATGACAAGAAAATGTAACTGTCGACGGATAGATGGACGGTGCAATCCTCATCCAGGTTGATTTGGGGGGGGTACTTATTTTCTGTTATTTTATTGGTAATTCCATTTAGTCCGTGACTGAACGGGGGAGGGGGGTTACTCCGTGCCCCCCTCTAGATCCGCCTCTGCAAACTGATGCACGGGTTTGGTACATGTACGCAGTAAAAATACTGACAAGTAAGAGAACAATTTAGGTTTTCGCAGACTGACATGCAAACACGGTGTTAAATAGATTTGTCTTGAGAAAACCTTTGACGATGTATCACTTCATGTCATCCACATACTGTACTATGTGGCACAGAGAAATATAAAATTGAAAGCCTTTTTAATTTTGGAAATTCAGAAAACGTCTCGCATCTCGCACGCAGTACTCTGCTACAGTTCATGGAAATTATAGAATGATGGGGTTCTTTTAACTTGCAATGACAAGGGTGCTCAGGTACCACTGGGTGTCGGCCTGTGGTTTCAGCAACAAAGTACATGTACGTCTCAAAGTCATACCGGTACGTGTACATGTATGTTCGAAGGCATTTCATTGTTTAATCATTCTAGCCTTCCTGAGTAGTCCAAACATTGTTTGGAGGTTCAGCTCTGACAGCCCAACCTGTATTTCTTCACACGGGGCTTGATGCGTCTTGAAAGCTTTAGGTCTGAGAAATATTCCATTGTTTTCCAGGAAGAGGGCTGAAAATTAGCCATTTTGCACCCGATAAAACACTCGGGAATGTTCTGTGCCAATTTAGACAGACGGACGTTCCGACTTGTCATGGCAGTGTCTTTATGTAGTTGCCGATGATACTTGGCTCTATGCTTAAGTAATTCTAAATGTGTTCCTACACCCGCATGGGCTCAAAGAGCCTGTTTGTTTCACACAGATCCCGGTCACAATCAGTTATCTGTCGGTGGTTCACCGACACCAGAACCCACCTAATGGATAGGGCGAACCAGCTCTGAGATCACTGATCCCGAGCCAGATCCATGTGCAACAAACACACCCATAGTAATTGCATTTTCAAACATGTTGAGAGACCTTCAGTGGACGTGCTCTGGATATTGTAGCAAATATCACTCAGAGTGTAGGAAAGCTGGGAACAAATGACCACCAAGGATTGGTAGTTGTAAAGTCCAACGTTGTCAAGTTGTGAAATCCTGTTGAACCAAAACTTTGGTATTTTTAGCCAAATGTAATACCTTACTTGGGACAACTTTGTTTTGCAACAAAACCAAGGTTCCTGTGGCCTTGAAAAGTCATGAAATAGTCATGGAAATTTGTTTTTGTTTTCAAGGCCTGGAAAAGTTGTGGAATTTTGTAAAAATGACTAAAAGTCATGAAATTTTTCAAACACTGTGTGTGATTTCTATTCTCAACTTAAAAGGCCGAATAGTCCAAGAAATTGCGTTATTGGGTCATGAATTTTCATAATTTGGTCAGGGAAAAGTCATGGAATGTAATTGTCCTTTAGGTGCAGGAACCCTGAATGCTGTTGGCAAGTGGTTAAACTGCAATGAATGTGCCATTGGCTACCTTCTTAGTGGAGAATTTTAGAGCAATATGACATTGTTGTAGTTGAGTTCTGTACAAGTACTTCACAGATAGAAGCTTAATGTGGGTCTAGTTTATTCGTGCATGAATTGTAATATTGCTGGAGCATTTGTCAAGTGCTTTTCAACTACTGGACTGCATTATTTATGCAGGAAGATTTCAGGCCAAAGACAAGCTCAGAGGTTAGGGTTAATCCTGTTTTTGCTGTTGCCGTCCGCAGGGAAGCAGTAACTCCCAGAAGCGCCACAAGCCCAGCCCCATGCAGCGGGCAGTGCTGAAGGCCCGTGACACCCCGGCCAAAATGACAAAGAAGCTCCTGACATCATTCTTTGACCGGGAGACCCTGGCCACCAGCACCCTGACAGGCAAAGGGGGC